GCAAGCAACAATTGTGTGTGTGTATGTGTGTGTGTGTGTGTGTGTGCATGTATGTGCAGCAATGGAATTTCCAAAATGCATATAGAAGCCGTCTAGGTCAAGTCTTTGCTGGAATTGCTTAATAATTTCAGCCTCTGCCCTCTGATCATCCCCTGAACATTATGTGAGTTCAGAACAAAACATCCCAAAGATTAAATATTAATGCCACAAGAGCATGCTAAGTAGGTAACTTAAGAATTTGACCCTTGAAAATAAAGCTATGTGCTATTTAGTTGCCCACTTAAAATCTCATATTCATACTCGTAATTGTATTTTTATATAATATATATTTAAAATATTTAAAAACAGCAGAAGAGCTAATCAATCTCTTCCATCTTATGCCTTTCAGGTGTGTTGGACTTCAACACCCAGAATTCCAGTGGTATTCTGGATAGGGATTCAGGGAATTGGTGTATTCCTCCAATGCATGTGGAGGAAATAATATGACTGTGATAATGACTGAATTAAACTAAGAATAATGGAATTAGAAAACCTAGTATTAAAAATACAACTGAGTTGCATTTTGTTGAGTATAGTTTTTGATGTACACAGTAGATGTTTGGCTCCTAAGTATCTTTAGGACCCCTTCATCCAAGTAAAGCCAGTCAGCCTATTATGTGTACTTATCTGGTTGAGAATGCTTTGTGTTCTCACATATGGAAAGTGAGAAGGTGGCCCAGAACAGAACTTTTCTGTGATAGGTCCCATCTTGTGGAACCACCTCCTTCCAGACACCAAAGTACACCTCTATGGCACTATTTTATGGTGCTACCAAATTTGAACTCCTTCAGAAGGGTTATGAAGCAGTGGTGGGTTCCGGATCCCGTTGCAATCGGTACGGTGCAATGAGGCTGGGCATACATGCATTCTTACCGCCCGTGATGCTCCATGACACCTCCACAATGCTCCAGCTGCTTGGCGGAGTGTCGCACAGGTGCCGTAAGCTCCGTGCGCGGAAGCCCCAAACAGTTCAAATACAGGTAAGGAATTTGGGCAGGCGGGTGGGCCCTCTGGAGCACCATACCGGAACAATTCTTGGTCCTTCCAGCAGGCACTGGTATGCCCGTAATCACGCTTACCGATCATATCCCACCATTGTTTTGAAGGTTACTAATGCCTTGATTAGATGGTGTGGGTACCAGTGATGGCCTTATTATTTTAAGATTTTATATTTATATATAATAATAAATAGTAGATTTATAAACATTACTAGTAATGTAAAATTATCTAGTGCATTCAAAGGATATTGCTTGCATACAATTTTCGCCATGAAAGTTTGTAATATTCCCCAGAAACAAGCTGCAGAAGGTTTAAGGAACTTATTCCCAGGGATCAGATTATAGTCATAAAACATATTTAAAAAGCAGCCAGATTAACCGAATATCATAATGCTTTATTGACCCATTATTCTATGCCATTGTTCCTTAGTCTTAGTTGTAAGTCAGAGTTGTGGCTTAATGTTCTCTGTGAAACTGATGACCATAGCTTGATTAAAAGGTAAAAGTAAAGATCATTTCTGACTGGAGCTGATGGTCAACTCCATTTCCTAGCTGAGGGAACCAGCATTGTCTAAAAATATTTCTGTGGTCATGTGGTCAAGATGATTATATGCTGAGGTGCACAGAATCCTTTTATCTTCTCACTGAAGTGGTACTTATTTAAAACTGCTAGGTGGACAGTGTGGCTTGGTTAATAAGCCATCATTAAACAAATCTTAGCTTGGTGCAAGTATAAGTATGTGACCAGATCTAAATCTTTTCTAGCTTAGATAGCAAATGTGCATCATTAATGATAAAGGCTTAGAGAAACATGGCAAGAATTCAGGCATATTTTATTTAGTTCTGCTTCCAGAAGAACTCCATTACCAGCTGTTGGGTAGAATATTCTCGTGGGAAATATGGCTTACATCTCCTGTTACTGAACAAAGAAATA